ATACTAATCAATTACTCTCGTGCCTTGTAGAGTTTTTAAATAGATTATTCATCTCCGCTCTAGCCATATTAGTATCTTTTAGTGGGATGGGCGACGTGCAGGTAGGAGCTAGCCGCGGGGAAAGACATCAACGAGGCAGGGGCGTGGGCACGTGGCATCCGGATAAAGACGGATGCATGTGTCGGAGTATTATCGTTTTAGTATTCCTGGTCTTCCAAGTATGGATGAAAATGGTACGGATATTTATTCGACCGTCCGTTCGACCGAACAAATATGAACACTTATTCGGATAGTTACTCGGATATCCGGTTTTTTTTTCGGATACGGATACTAAAACGGATACCTTAGGCGGATATCAAATACGGATGTAATATCATCGATATCCGGCGGATATCGGATAATCCGGATAAGTATCGGATATATCCGGATATTTAAAAACGGATATTATCCGGATATTTATTCAAAATTTAAAAATCACAAATTTTAACCATCCAAACTATCTCAAATGGAAAGTTGACCAAAACAACAATTGTAGATCTTGATGAGTTGAACAAACTTGGTATTCAAAACTTTTCAATTTGAAGTCATTTAGAGTTCATAATACTAGAGTCAAAGTGTTGTTTTTTCATTTGACCAAATTTGACTTGGTCAAACTTGCTCAAATGAGACACTAAATGACCTCAGATGAAAAAACTTTGAATACCAAGTTTGATCATCTCAGCAAGATCTACAATTGTTACATAGCTCATTTTTCCATTTGAAAAAGTTTTATCAAACACTAGTCATAAATTCTTGAATCTCATATAGATTTTCTGAAACTATGTCACACACTTGTGAAATTTGAACTATATTTTATTCAAACTTTCTCAAATGAAAAAATGGCCTATATAAGGATTGTATATCTTGATGAGATGAACAAATTTGGTATTCAAAACTTTTCAATTTGAGACAATCTAGGGTTCCGAAAACTAGTTTGTACACGTCGAAATTTAAAAATCACAAATTTGAACCGTCCAAACTATCTCAAATGGAAAGTTGACCAAAACAAAAATTGTAGATCTTGATGAGTTGAACAAACTTGGTATTCAAAACTTTTCAATTTGAAGTCATTTAGAGTTCATAATACTAGAGTCAAAGTGTTGTTTTTTCATTTGACCAAATTTGACTTGGTCAAACTTGCTCAAATGAGACACTAAATGACCTCAGATAAAAAAACTCTGAATACCAAGTTTGATCATCTCAGCAAGATATACAATTGTTACATAGCTCATTTTCCCATTTGAGAAAGTTTTATCAAACACTAGTCACAAATTCTTGAATCTCATTTAGACTTTCTGAAACTATGTCACACACTTGTGAAATTTGAACTACATTTTGTTCAAACTTTCTCAAATGAAAAAATAGCCTATATGAGGATTGTAGATCTTGATGAGCTGAACAAACTTGGTATTCAAAACTTTTCAATTTGAGACAATCTAGGGTTCCGAAAACTAGTTTGTAAGCATCGAAATTTAAAAATCACAAATTTGAACCATCCAAACTATCTCAAATGGAAAGTTGACCAAAACAAGAATTGTAGATCTTGATGAGTTGAACAAACTTGGTATTCAAAACTTTTCAATTTGAAGTCATTTAGAGTTCATAATACTAGAGTCAAAGTGTTGTTTTTTCATTTGACCAAATTTGACTTGGTCAAACTTGCTCAAATGAGACACTAAATGACCTCAGATGAAAAAACTCTGAATACCAAGTTTGATCATCTCAGCAAGATCTACAATTTTTACATAGCTCATTTTCCCATTTGAGAAAGTTTTATCAAACACTAGTCACAAATTCTTGAATCTCATATAAACTTTCTGAAACTATGTCACACACTTGTGAAATTTGAACTACATTTTGTTCAAACTTTCTCAAATGAAAAAATAGCCTATATAAGGATTGTAGATCTTGACGAGCTGAACAAACTTGGTATTCAAAACTTTTCAATTTGAGACAATTTAGGGTTCCGAAAACTAGTTTGTAAGCATCGAAATTTAAAAATCACAAATTTGAACCGTCCAAACTATCTCAAATGGAAAGTTGACCAAAACAAGAATTGTAGATCTTGATGAGTTGAACAAACTTGGTATTCAAAACTTTTCAATTTGAAGTCATTTAGAGTTTATAATACTAGAGTCAAAGTGTTGTTTTTTTATTTGACCAAATTTGACTTGGTCAAACTTGCTCAAATGAGACACTAAATGACCTCAGATGAAAAAACTCTGAATACCAAGTTTGATCATCTCAGCAAGATATACAATTGAGCTCATTTTTCCATTTGAGAAAGTTTTATCAAACACTAGTCACAAATTCTTAAATCTCATCATGAGACTTTCTAAAACTATGTCACACACTTGTGAAATTTGAACTACATTTTGTTCAAACTTTCTCAAAATGAAAAATGGCCTATATAAGGATTGTAGATCTTGAATCCATGACCATGACTCTATGAGACCCATGAAGCAATGTGCTTGGCTATTTCTACTCATGCTGCCAAGATTAGTGCTTATATGATGTTTGATGTATGATGTATACGTATCTTTATCTTATTTGTTGCTTTACTCTTTAGTCTTTCGGCTTAATCTAGATGGATTATGGACTCATAGAGTGGTGTAATGGTTTGCATGACGTATGATATATATATATATATATATTGCTTTTACTCAATACGATATTTGGCATACCGGATACTCATTGGGTATCCGTAATCGAAGTCAATCCGTATATGATAAAGACGCTATGCGAATGAATGTCAGAAATATGAAAACAAATATAATATAAGTGATATCCGTTCGTATCCGATCCGTTTTCATCCCTACTTCCAAGGACAAAGGTTCCCTGTTTCAAGAGATGAGAATTTTTGGAACCTGGCATCGAGATGCAAATTTAAACGCGACAGCGCACGCAATGCAATTTTTTTATGGAACAACACACGCAATTAAGGAATGAATAACAGCCCAGCATATGTAAACAACTCTAGCTCTACATTGCATAAATAAATAAAAAATACCATATCCATTTATGCATGTCAGTTATGAGCCAAAAGAAGCAGGTTTCTTTTTTTATGTGGCATACATGTTAATTTGTGTGTAACAAAATTAAAAATACATGGAAATTGTTTTGCAGAAACAATATGACTGCTATATATTAATGTTATTATTATGTTGTAAAAAACAAGAAGGATGTTATTATATTTTTATACTACCTTATAAGGTTGGGAACTGCTCCGGTACTCCTCCTTCTTAAAAACAAACAAGCTCTAAGAAAAATATAACATCTAAAAGCAATCAATTTAATGAATTAACATTTTTATTATTTTGCAAATGGGTTCCGCATGGGCTGAGCCCGTCCAAGCCTAGCCCGAGGCCAGCCCTGATCCAGAGGTGAAGTCAAGTTTGTCCAGCTCTCCGTCTTCACGCCGCCATTTCCCTCGCGTCTGCTCCCTCCTCCGATCTGCAGAAGAAGCCTAGGAGCTCCCTCCTCCGGTCCCTTGCGGCGGCCATTCCCGAGCAGCGGCGGCCGGCGGACCGAGCCAAGTGTGGCACCTCTGTCCCCCTCCTCCTCCGATCCCATTTGCTGGCAGCCAGCAGATTCCCGCGGTGCAGGGCACACCGGCCAAGGGAGGCGTCCGCTCGCGCCCCTGTGAGCCGGGAGCCGGCAGGTTCGGTGGCTACGTTCGATTCGGCGTCAAATTTATAAGAAGAGTGAAGTACTCGCCGCTGTCTCTTCGGGGACATCCTCTAAGAAAAAGTACTCGCCGCTGGCCGCTCACACAAGGATACTTAAGACACCACACTACATCACCCCAGTGAAATTATATAGAGATACACATGAACAAGTCTTCATGGAAATCAATCAATACAGTCAGCAGGTCAAGATGAACTTACTAGATAACAGCTGCACAAAAGTTTACAATTTGTTTATAAGTATTTGCTGTCGTCCGGAAGGAATTAGTTTCAGTAGCCTATAATTTGCTTCCTAACACAAATGTAGTAGAGACGTAGAGTCCATGAGAACCAATGCACTATTTTGACATAAGTCCACAATGCTTGGAAAAACAAGAAAAACAAGGGTGCGATTCAGCACTTAACTGTGATGGAATTCATTACTCACATACTCAACAATTGCTTAGAACACCACCTCCAAATTTGAGTTGCTAAAAAAAACACCTCCAAATTTGTGGATCAGGATCATGAATATAAAGTGGGGAAAATAAAAAAAAAATACAAGCAGATTTCTGGCCATTTTATTCTTTGGCCTAGGCTGCTAACTAAACAAGAACGAACCCTATTCTCTAACCAACAAGCACATGAGCACAATGCCATCTGTACATATCTTCTGTCCTGCACCTGGTTTCTGATTTTTGGCCATCATTGCAGATAGAAACAACTACCACTTGCATTGCATAAGATCAGCAAGGCAGCTGTTGGTTCACTTGGTACTAAGATATTGCATGTCTTTAAGGTAGCGTCTAGCAGCTGCATACAAAGGCAACCATGTTAATGTTTGCAATGTTCTGAATATTATACCGGTCATTGTAAAATACATGGATGCAAGGCGTCCCCAACTGAGGTACTTACACCAGGATGCCGCCGCAACATAGAAGAGTATTGCTAGTTAAATCTTCAGGTTCAAGTGTGCAATGCAAGATTCAGAAAATTGCGGTAAGTAATCAATTTATGACAACTTGGTGATCAGCTCTTGGTACAATATTAAATTGCTATACACTGAGATTGACTGATATATCAGAAAAGTCTGGTATCGTTAAGCTACATACACACAGCTAGTTATACCTTTTTCTGAATAATAACTAATGAATAGCTGCCAGATGTCAATAGCCTTAAATCAATTCTTTCGACAGATCTTAAGCAAAACAGACTCTGTGACCCACTCTTTGTTATATCATGATAAACTATATTTTTTAAGAAGTTCACTCACCTATTATTTCTATCTCATGCAACATGAACAAGAGAAACAAAAGTACAAGATACCAAAAAGTAGATACAACACCATTTCCGCCTATTCCACCGATGCAGTGGCTGTCAGAAAAAGTCCATACAGGGACTAGAGCTGCATCTCCTAAACATAGAGCACTTGGGGAAAAATCACTGGAGGTGGGCCGTGCAGATAGGATCAAAGATGCTTTGCACTCAGTCAGAACGCAGGTTGCTGAAACCATTCAGGCAAGAAGCCAAGGAACATTAGTTTCTAGTGAGAATGTTAATGCCAATGTCTCTTACAGAGACGAAACAAAATGCTCTGAATCTGAAGAAACGAGACATTCGCAGCCATACCGAGTCAGAGAAGATGTTGTACAGGCTTCAGAAGGCATTGCTCTCAAGGTTGGAGAGTTTCCTGTGCCTGCAATACTTTACCTACGGACGCAGGAACAAGCAGACACATGTTTCCAACATGAAGGCAGATAACAATTTGGTAGTGGACATTCTGACAACGGTTCAACAGAGAAGTGAAGCGAAGAGCACGAGGCTTCAGATAGCAGCAGCAATCTGCAGAACGAGAGTGTCTTCTTCTCTGCGGTACAAGAGCTAGCGAAGCTGTCCCCTCCTCCTTCAGTGCCAAGGCCCAAATATTCACTGCTCGGTGCTGGATCTGGCGGCTCCCGGCTCACAGGGGCGCCGGCGGCTCGTTGGCGTGAGGGGGGCGCAGACAGGCGCCTCCTGGCCGGTGGCCCGGCGGCTCGCGGGTCTTCCTCCCCGGCGACGACGGCGCCACCGAACCTGCCAGCAAATGGGATCGGGGGAGGAGGGGGAAGAAGGTGCCACACTTGGCTCGGTCCGCCCGCCGCCGCAAGGGACCGTAGGAGGGAGCTCCTAGGCTCTGCAGGGATCGGAGGAGGGAGCAGACGCGTTTGAGTTCTGACGCGAGTGAAACGGCGGCGTGAAGATGGAGACCTGGACAAACGTGACTTCACGTCTGGATCACGGCTGGCCTCGGGCTGGGCTTGGACGGGCTGAGCCCATGCGGAACCCAGTTGCTAAATAATAAAAAATATTAATTTATTAAATTGGCTGCTTTGATATGTGTGCAGTTTTTCGAAAGAGGAGTACGGAGCAGTTTCCCGTAAGGTTTTTCAATTCCGAAATCACATGCACATTTCAGGAATTCTAAGCGAGGTTTCTCCGTAATTTGCAGCAAAATTATATGATACAAAGGCCACATGGGACTCCACAGTTCCAGTCTTTCAGATGCTATTTCCTGATACAAAGTATATATCACAAGTGCCATGTGAACTGTATAGTGAATTGTGTCCTCAACTCTTTTAGCATACTGACGACGCCTAATACTCATTTGCACCTGATCTTATGCACCCTGTGTGTATCAAGTGCAATGAAGCCATACATCTACTTTTACTAGGATCATGCTCGTGCGTTGCAATGGGAATAAAATAATATTACAGTAATTTTAAGTTTAATTATGCATATTAGCCTGTGAGTGTTATTTCTTTATGTGATTACAGTATTTCACCAGATTTCTCCATAAGGGAACCTGTGTTGTATAGAGATATAATTTTCGATGTGGAAGAGTTTGTTTCTGAAACGGTTTTTTTCTGTTGTATCTTTTTTTAGCAAACTCTTTTTTGCCGTATTTTTTTGGAAACGGGGATGTGGAAGAGTTTGATTTTTTTTGCCTTGTATATGTTTTTTTGGAAACGTTTTTTTGCCGTATTTGATTTTTTCGGTTTGGAAACGGGGAGGTTGGTTTTTTTACGGTGTTTTTTTTGCCGTGGGGCAGGGCGACGCAGACGATAGCTGTAGGGATTTTTTAGGTGTAGATAGATAGATAGAAGATAGTTATCTATGTGGACGTGGCGATCGCGTACACAATGATCGTCTCCCTTTTTAGGTGGTCCGATTCGGATTGCTTGTGGACAGGCTAAGACTGATCTAGAATTTTTCTTTTGGCCAAGACCAATCCGGATTTTGCATGTGGGCATACACTTGCACTGTATATCGGGGGGCAGCGTCCGGAATTTTCTTTTTGGCAAGACCGATCAACGTATTCTCGGGGGGGCAAGCGTGTACCCTCTAAGGTTTTTTAGGTGGTACTAATTGGCGACGTGGGGTGATCGCGTAATTGATCACGATTGTTATGGGAATTGATTTTTGCCTTTTCTGATTTACTGTGGTTGTTATGGGGATTGAGCTGATCGCATGGAGCGAGTGCACGTTGCCTTCCTGATCTGATCGCATGTAGGGAATTGATTTTTGCCTTCCTGATTTGCTGCGGCTGTTATGGGGATTGAGCTGATCGCATGGAGCGAGTACACGTTGCCTTCCTAATCTGATCGCATGGAGCGATTTTGGTGTAGCACCTGTGGACGGAATAGTTATGAATGTTTTAGCTGTAGAGATGACAAAATCGGCTGACGTCATATGTTGACATTATTTGCTCAGTGGGGAAAACAATGTGTAAGTTCAATTTTTGAAAAGGGAAAAGAGTAACGAGAATTTTCATCTAAAAAAGTACATGTGTGCTCTTTATTTTTTTTGCCAATTAATTTATTATTCAAAAACTATCCTAAATATTAGCTGATAATATATTTATATTTTAGTTATACTATGTATCGAGTGGCCCAATTGCTGCAAGTCGTAGTATGATTCAGAGGTGTATGTGTGGCCCACAACGTATCATCCGACAAAACATGTTCTTTTTCTGGCAATTAAAAAACTAACCTGTTGGTGTGAAAAGTGACGAACAAGTAAATAGTTGTAGTTTTGTCGCGCCTTTTAATCGGATGTGGCCTAACACTCAATGACACATAATCTATATTGGTTCAGGCAATGGGCCCTACATCCAGTTGAGGTCGGTCGATGACTTTATTCCCAAATCCAGGTGCTCGAAGTTTGCTATGGGGTTATAAACGAATAGGAATGAGAAAGGGGTGTTAGAGGCCCGGTCAGACTCTGAACCGGGTGGCCGAGAATGACGGGGGCTCTAACGTATACTAAGTATTGGAGCGTATGCTCTGTGTCTCTAAAGCTGGTTGAGCTGTTGTGTTCTCGAGTCATCGAGAAAGTCTGAGAGAGAGAGAGCCAGCCTCCTTTTCCAGGAGAGACCGCATCCCCTTTTATAGTTGAAAGGGATGGCCTTACAAGTCAGAGAGAAAGAGAGAAAGTGTATACGTGTGTTGCTTAGTCTTGTTGCTCATGCCATCGGGTACGGGATGGCTGCCAGCGTCCACAATATTGTTTATGCTCAGATGCGTCCAGCAGGCTCTACCGTGTTCGCCTGGTACGGTAAACATCGGCGCCTACAATACTGTTTGTGGACTGACGCATCTGGAAGGTTGTATAGTGTCTGTCTGTCATGACCTGAAGGCACCGTCTTGCAGGTGCGCAGGGTACGGTCCTCGGTATTGTAGTTGACTTGAGCGTCTTACCTTATCTGCTCCGCCTGCTCCCCAGGGCCACACCGAGTGGGCGTCCCCGGTCGATCGTTCCTAGTCATCCTCGATCATGCCGGTCGGGAAAGAGCAGCGAGCAGAGGTCCGGCGTATCCTTGGTCGGGAAAAGAGGTCGGGCGAGGCGGAGCCCGCAACCCAGAGGTTGGGCGAGTGCGGGGCCTGCCCCCAGAGGTTAGAGGTGCTGGTTGGGGACCGAATCGTGGTCTTGGCCTATAATTGTGTATCTGGACCGGCCCAGACATGTGTTGTCGTTGCACCGTCTGCTAGGCCGAGTTTTGTAGGGAAGCGGGTCCATTGGGGACCCCGGGTTTATGAACCCAACAGGAGCCCCCGAGCCCCTTTGGGTCCATTGGGGACCCCGGGTTTATGAACCCAACAGGAGCCCCCTCGTTGGGCTCGGTAGGGGTCGGTCGAGTTTCACGCGTTAGCTTGTCCATGGTTTCCGTAACCGGAGGGGTTGAGCTAACGTCGCTTGCCTCGATGGCTCGAGTGATGCGCTCGGTGAGCTCACTAATTGGTATGTCCAAGTGGAATTCGAGTCCGTCGTTCGTAACGGGGTTGGCATAGCCCTCATGTGGCATTCCACTACTCCTTAACCCACCCCCCAGCAGATGCCCGAGCCATTCCGGAGACTGACTCAAGTGGCCCGCTGGCCTCCCCTCGATGGAGATTCTATGGGCATGGCTCGAGGTCAGCATCGAACGAGAAGGTCGAGATGACCCTGTCTGCTTCTGAGCGGATCGGGCAAAGGCCACTAGGGCTCATCTGCATTTTCTCCCCTGGCTCTGTTTGATGCAAGGCGGCCTCGAGCCCTTCGTGGGCCAGCCTTCGAAGCCCAGTCGGTCGCCGCTCATATCGAATGAGACGACTACCGCTTTGTGACGCGACGCGAAGCGTTGTGATGCAACAATTGCATATGCAATGCTTGGATATATGGGATGAATGTATGGATGAATGTATGAATACATGCATGAGAATGAATGAATGTATGAATGCATGCATGAGAATGGATGAATGAATGATCATGCACTAGAAAAGTAGAATGGGGGTTGGTAAAGTTACCTCGATGGCTCGAGTGACGGGTTTGGGGAGCTCCTATCGGATATATCTGAGTGGAATCCAGGCCCGTTGTTCGTCACAGAGTCGGCATAACCCGCATGGGGAATCCCACTGCTCCTTACCTGTCTCTCGGTAGCCGCCCGAGCCATCCGATCAACTCGTGTGACCCGCTGGCCTCTCCTCGATGGAGATTCCGTCGGTGGGCTGGAGACGGTCAAAGTGGTTGGCGGTCGGAGCGTGGAGGCGCTAGCCCAGTCCCTTGAGGAGCAATGCACTCTCAAGGGAGAGCTCGACCAGCTTCGCAACATTGCGCAGGTGATGGTCTCCGAGGTGCTTGGGTCAGGACCGAGCACCAGTATGCCCGCCATCTAGCTGGTGGGGGTCCCGAATGAAGTTTGAGCGCTCATCTCTGATGGCATGTTCTACGCGATGTCGGGGTGCTGACCTCGATGGTGACCCACCACCTTGATCTGGACTTCATGGCCATAGGTGGTCGCTGAGTAGGTCACCGCGCAGTGGGTGATGGAGGCTTGCCGTTCGACCGTGGCTGGGAAGACGTCGTCCAACCTATGGAGGAAGCGAAGGCCAGGTCGGAGGCGAGCGTTGTCCGACCCCCAACCGGGTCATGGCGGGGTGTGATCGGTCGGGACGTTAAAGCGCAAGTTACATAGGGTAATCAAATGAATGAAATGCCCTTTCGTTTGGGCGACACACTTTCATTTGGGTGAAAAGTATTACTACATGATAGTAAAAAAGGAGGGTGGTATCGCACCCCCATGGATCCCCCGAGCGACCTAGGCTAAGAGTGCTCAGGCTGGGGTGTTGTAGGAGCAAACGTTGAATGGAAATAAGTGGTAAGACCGTGCTTTAGGGAAAGAAATGACGTAACTGTTCGATGTTCCATGTGTTTGAAAGAACATTGTCGTTGTCGTCCTTTAGCCG